TGGACTAGATCAGTGATTCTCAACCCTTGCTAGACACTAAGAATCACTGAGGTAGTCCTTAAAGATACTGATGCCTGGACCTTATCCTAAACGACCTAATTTAGATCTAAAGCAGAATTTAGATTATCCATAATCCAACAAATAGAAGATCCCACATAACTAACTTTAGTATAAATAGCTTACTTTCTAACTAATTTTTTGAATACTGGTTTGAACTATTCGATTTTGTTGTTAGATTACAGGACACATCTCTTATTCAGACCCAAAAATGTCTAGTACAAATTGACAAATTTACCAACAAGAATACAGGTGATCAGTTAAATGATTTGTTCAAGATGATAAAATATCTCCCAGGTGCTAACTCAGGAATTCTAGACCCCTTTCTTTATAGCCAAGAAGATTATAAACAAAAACATGTCCTTCCAACCCCACTAAGAAAAAGCTACTTACATAACTATGAAGCAGTTATTTGTTTAAAAAGTTCCAAAGTACTTGTTAGGAATGGGATTGAAATTGTTATACAAATGGTTAATTGTGCCCAACACTGTAAATCAACCATACTTCAATAAAAAAATAAAATTAAAAAGAAGGTTAACTGTGGTTGATTAAAGGGAGATAAAGAACATTTTCTAAAGGAATAGCTAAAACACATTTACTCCAAATGTTCTGCCAGCAAAGTACTAAGTTGCCATGAAATTTCAAAAACTACCCCACTTGATACTATACCTTGATAGCTTCAATGGCATATTCCACTTGAAATAATCTTCCTTCAGGAGAAAAAGTATTCACACCCCTATAATTAAGAAAAAAAAAAAAGAAAATGGTATTAAAATTGTCAGAAAAAATAAGCATAGAGACACTAAAGTCAAGTTCCTTGACATCTAGCTCAGATGGCTACAAGATGTGCACACTGTCTTTATGCTCCTTTACCCACAACAATCTGTAGCTGTTTTTTGGTACATTAACAGTTTTTCAAGAGAATGGAACCTATACATAGAACACCTCTGCCCCACTCCCATAGTATCTTCAAACTGATCAAATGAAAGCAGGTGACTTTCTGCCTCAATCTTGAATCAATTTGGAATCCCTCTGGTAAATTCATGCCCCCAAACTATCAGGCAATTCCTAAGAAAATGTGCATTTATCCTTATCCTCTTCCCATTACGTGAATTTGATGTTAATATCTTACTTTTTAGTAAAAGTCAGCCACAGGGACATTTCTCTATTTATTTGTATGAATTAGTATTGTTATCTTAACAACAGACTGAGATCTGTTGCAGTTCCTAAAGCCTAACCTAGTTAATTCACTCAATACATTATACATGCCAGACTGCTCTTCTCCTTTAAACAATTCCCAACCTTTCCTTGCTCATCTGTTAGAAATCCCTTTGGAGAAGAGGCATCATGGTTTTAGCTATAAATGCTTTCCGCACACAATGGACACTTTAAGAATATTTGAACAAATGAATGAAAATAGTTGTGCTCCTTGGTTTATGGAGTCTGGAGTTTATAACGTGTAAGAGGATACAGAGCAGTGTTTGCAAATTTGTTTTATCAAAACCTCTTTTTTTAAAAAAAGAAATATTATATATATATATATATATATATATATATCCCAAATATAAAACAGATAATAATACAAGTTGACATTTACTGAATATGTACTATATGCCTGGCACTGTTGCAAACCTTTAAATGACAACACACTTAATTCTCAAAACAATCCCATGAAATAGTATTCTAAAGCGATACGATTTTAGAGATGAGGAAGTTGAGACACAAGGAGGTTGACTAATTTGCCCAAAGTCACTCAGCATATAAGAGGCAGAACTGGAATGAGAATTTAGGCAATCTAAGACCAAGCTTTCAACTATCAGGAGTCAAAAGAGAATCTCACCATTCCAGCCTCCCATTTTCCCCAGAGGTACTATCCCTAATGTCATTTAAAAGGAAATTTAGGACTCTAAGAAACAGCTTTTAAAAATCACTGAGAGGAAAGTCCGAGGGCAGAAGACCTGGGATTAAATTCTAGTTCTGCCACTTACTAACTTTAATCTGCTCAAATGAAAAAAAAAAAAATCTATCCTGCCTCTGTCATAATACAATTGGTATTGAATTGCACAGATTATGAAAGCACTTTGTAAAGTGTAAAGTACTATGTGAATACGAATACAGTATTTTCACCCGAATTCAGGAACTTCATCCTGTTGAGGTATTACTAAGTCTTTCCTAATGTGGGCTCTGCTCTTGGCCCTGTTTTCAAACTTTCTCTGGGTTATTTCATTCATGTCAAGCACTAACTACTTCCAAATCTCTATTACCAGTTTGACCTCTTTCCTGATTAATCTGAAAGCCTCCTGAGCATTTCCATTTGGATATCCCATTAGTGCCAAACACTTGACATTTTCCAGTCTGAAATATACAGTCACGCTTGCAAAATCAGCTACATCTCCTGCCATTCCTATTTCATTTTTACTTTAAAACACCTCGCATCTCCCAGTTCCCCAAACTATAAAGTTCTAAACGATCTGACTCACTCCTCCCCTTTTCCCATAATTAACAATATGCCAAGTCATATCAATTCCAATCAGTTCCCCCCACGCCCCCCACACAGTAACTCTACACTCCCTTCCATTCTCAATGCCCTCATTACCTTTCAACTAAGTATTTTAATAGCCTTCTAACTGGTACTGATTCTCTTTCCTCTAATCCAGTCAATTAATCTCTATACAACACAATTATGATTATGTAACTTCTTAAAATTATAATTTATGCCACACAGATGCCTACAAAATAAGACCCAAACTTCTCAACCTCATATTAAAAACCATCCAGTATCTAGCACCATAGTGTTTTCCCAGATCTCCCCCCATTCCCATATGTGTATCATATGTGCCAGCAGACTAGAATTTTCGCAAACACTATGTATGCTTTCCCACTGCCCCTCCTTTGTTAATCCTATATTCTCTGCCTCAAAACTATTCACTCTCACTCTCCATATTTATTAAAACCTTACATCTAAGACTCAGTTTATTTATGTTTTTTAAAATTTATTTATTTATTTAGGCTGTGCTTGGTCTTATTTGCAGCAAGTGGGATCTTCATTGCCGAATGTAGGCTCTTAGTTGCGGCATGCATGTGGGATCTAGTTCCCTGACCAGGGATCGAACCCGGGCCCCCTGCATTGGAAGCGTGGAGTCTTAGCCACTGAACCACCAGGGAAGTTCCTAACGCTCAGTTTAAATATCAGCTCCTTTTAAAGTTTTCCATAATACCCTAATATTGAATGCAATCTCTCTCGTCAAACTCCCATAGTGTTGATTTGAGCTTCTCTAATGACATGAACACATTTCTGAATTACACTATAGTTACTTTTGTAAATAGTTCTTTAAAGGACAGTCTCCCATATGAGAAAAAGGATCATGATATTGTTCACTGCCATATGACAAGCATTCAAGTACCTTAGCTAAGTGAATAAAAAGGACTGTTTTAGGCATTCTTTAGGAAGATACAAAAATGAGTAACACAAAGCAGTTAATAAAGATGTTAAGTAAATGATCACAAAAACCTTAATAAAGGTTTTCTGATAAGAATAACAATTTCCATCATACACACCCCTTACTCAAAATTATATCACCCAAAGATGATTCTTTTCAATGCTCTGGAAGCTAAATACTGACTAACAAAGTTATTTTATAGGACAGTAGAAAAGGAGTCCGGTTTTTTTTTGTTTTTTTTTTAAGGAGTCAGTTTGAAAACCTCACATACATCTTCTATGAGTCAGTAAAAGGATTTTTTTCTTAAAGTGGTAGTTCTAAGTGATAAAACTTTTGACAGGTTCAACATATACTTGACAAGAAATGCAGCTTCTCAAGCCATCTAGTACAAAGAAAACATCTGCCTTTCCTGGCTTTAAAATTTAAAAAAAAACAATAGCTATGTGAAACATAACTGATCAAAACAGAAACTGAAAGTAAAAATGTCTACAGCATAAGTATGTACAATTTAATATTACTTAACATTTCCAAGCTCTGAAAGATTTTTTGTTTTATACAAATACAACAACCTCACAGCTTTGATTTCAAAAACAGATCTGGCTGCAACACACATTTAAAGTAACTTGCTTTAAACTGTTTAAAAAGTCAGAAAAGCTTGGGTCTAGTTGAATCAGCATGATGACAAAACTCTTGAGAACACTCTAAACTCCAGTTCCCATAAAATCAGACACCATACACTATATCTGGGCAAAGCTGAGACTTCCTTCGAGCTTCTGCAGAAACTATACATCACATCACGCCCCATTACACCTCAATCAAAGGAATGGCTGCTCTGTTCCCACAGCTAAGAAACGGAAAACGAGGTTGTGCTCCTAGAAGGAAAAGGGAGCTGAAATGATCAAACCCATTAAGTGATCTCTAATTGCTTTTTCTTCCAGGCACACGTTTACATTTTTAAAAAGGCAGTCACACTCAGCACAAAAAGATGAAGGGGAGAAGGGGTGACTCCTGGCCTTTCCAGGTTAAAGGTCGGAGTCGCGGCGCGCCAGCCGCCTTTCCCCAAGCACAAAGCGGAGCTTCACGCTTCCGCACTTCGGACCCAGCAGTGACTCAGCGGTAGGACAAGTGCGGCCGACAGGCGCAACTCTAGCCTGGGGAATCACAGCGGGCGGCTGGGGAAGGCGAGAGATCCCCGAGCCGGGCCAGACTCGGGATCCTGGGGCGCCCCCATGACACGGCAGAACCCAGGCCCAGACCGGGCCCCGGGCCCGCCGACCCGTAACTTCCACCCCATTTCCCCCAACCACACAGACCTGTCGTACTCAGACCGGGTGAGAAACATGGTAAGGGCAGGAGAAAGCGGCAGCGGCCACTCGGGGATTCTGAGGGCCAAGACGAGTCCACCTGCACCCAACTCACCCACACCGCCACACAGCCAAGTCTCCGTTACCAACTGCGCGTGCGCTCGCAACCCCTTCAGCCCGCCCTCCTGTACCTGCCTTCTATTGGTTGGTCGGAGTTCCCGCCGAGGTGACTGGGCCAACGCGCTTCCCCCGCCCGGCCTCGGTAGTTCCAGAGAGGGCGGGACAAAGGTCGTTCTTCCGCTTTTAATTGCTTGTGGTTGCTAGGGGCGCTCGGAACGGTAGGTGTGTGGTGAGAGTTCACGTTTTAGAGACGTTGTGAAGCCATCCCAAGATTGGCAACTGGGGAACTTGTATGGAGAGTCGGTCTGTCTGAACCCTGGTTTGATAGGTCCCTCGCCGACTCCCGCAATCCCCGCCAGAGCACGTTGGTCCCAGTCTCTCTTCGCTCTTCACCTGCCCGGCCTTTGGCGGGACTCCTCGCTTTTCCGGCTCCGGCGCGGACTTCCTCCAGGTGCTGTGTGACGGCCTCCAGGACTCGACCTGGGAGGTGATGAGGTGCGCTCCGGTGCGTCTGAGCGGGCGCCGGGGGCGAGTCCAGTCGCTTCAGCACTCCCCTCTCATGGCTCGTTTGTTGAGAAAAGTTGGTGAGTTCTAGTCGGTAGGAAAGTCTTCAAGTTTCCGCACGGTCAAGGTAATTTTACTAGCATTTCCTTCCATTTCTCCCCGCTGCCCCCAGTACAGGCTTTCGACCTGGTGACCCAGAGCTCTGGATGTGGGATTCAAATTGTTCACTGTTTTTCTGTTATTCATGAATTAGCTGAAGGTGCCGTCTTTTTTGTGCTTCATGCTTCCATTCCCTAAGCATAGGAGAGCAACTTCACAGCTTCATAGAAAGACTGTAAATGAATTATGTGTTCAAGAAAGATAACCAGTTAGGGAGTCATTTAGTGGGCAGTGTATGACTGAAAGGGAAACGCAAGGGTTCCGATTCTGGTTAAAGATATACCACTGGTCAAGGCCTTAACCTCTCCAGGCCTGTCTCTCTCAAGTTAAGTTCATAACTTAGCCTTAGATTAGGTTTGTAAATGACCAAGGCAATTCAGTGGTAGGGGAAATGTAGAAATAAGCCTTTTGGGTATTGACATCTGTTTTGCCCAACATTTATTTCTTTCCCTCGTAAATTCGACAGGAATTTCGTTTTGTGGTCCCTAGCCAATAAGAAGTTTGGCACCAGTAAAACTGAGGAGAAATTCCAAGTGGCAATCCTCAGGGACATTTTAGATTTCTGAGAAAGGAATGGTATCCTTTAGTTTCTGGTCAGCTTAATGTGCCCTTTCTATTAAAAAATTTTAGTTAATTTCAGTATGCCCTCTCTTTTGAAGTTCTCTTGAAATTAATATATAGTAACTACCTATATACCTACATAAATATTACCTATGTACCTATATAGGTACTTGAGCATAATAGTATTTCCTGAACACCCAGGGATGCAAGGTGCTCTGCAGCCCTTACTCATATCAGATGTGGTGGTGAATGTCTCACAAGATTATTTGAATGTAGACTCCTCTGGGTAAATGTGTTTGTGCCTTATATATCATAAGTGAAAGGGAGCCACAGGTAGCTCTCATTGTGGATAAGAAGGGAAATCTTGGTTTCTCCCAAGAAAGTGGACCATTATGGAATAAAAATCCAGCACCTACGGACTTCCCCGGTGGCGCAGTGGTTAAGAATCCGCCTGCCAACGCAGGGGACGCAGGTTTGATCCCTGGTCCGGGAAGATCCCAGAAGATGCCGCAGAGCAACTAAACCCGTGCGCCACAACTACTGAGCCTGAGCTCTAGAGCCCACAAGCCATAACTAGTGAGCCTGCACACCACAACTACTGAAGCCCGCATGCCTTTGAGCCCTTGCACTGCAACTACTGAGTCCATGTGCTGCAACTACTGAAGGCTGCACGCCTGGAGCCTGTGCTCCACAACAAGAGAAGCCACCGCAATGAGAAGCCCATGAACTGCAACGAAGAGTAGCCCCCGCTTGCCACAAGTAGAGAAAGCCTGCGTGCAGCAACAAAGACCCAATGCAGAAAAAATATAAATTAAAAAAAAAATCCAGCACCTAGTATAGTTTCTTGCCTATAATCAATTCCATTCAATAAATGCTTCATTAAAAGTTGAACCAGCTGTCCCTCTGAAAAAATGAGCCACAGAAGACAGAAAGGAAAGGAATGGAGTAAAGCATGAGAGAATGAGCTAGATTCAGAAACTGAGAAAGGTGTATAAACATCTCGGAGAGCTAGGCACATGGCTCCTGGAGCAAAATAAAGTGTGGCAGAATGGTCAGGGTGGACTGGAGACACTACTGGAGAAACCAGTAAGAACTGATCCCCAAACTGAATTCTTTATGTTCCTGTAACTGTCTAACTTATAAATGACTGAACATGGCTAATGTGCTTCATTGCTGTAATGTTTGGGTCTCTGATGGGCAGTTTTGGCTGGAGAACCCATCATCCTAGCTTGAACTTTCTTCAAATTGTGCTGTGGTCTGAGACCCTGCCTACTCTCAATCCTTTCTTTTCCCTCTCCTTCATAGGTGTCAGGCCTGAGTCACAGTTTGCAGACTCTCCCACCTTCCCTTGCTCCCTTCCCTTTTATCTTTCACAGATAGTTCCCCTAAAAATATCTTGCATGTTGTTATGAATTGTGTCCTTCCCAAAATCCATATGTTGAATCCCTAAACCCACAATACTGCAGAATGTGAGTGTATTTGGAGATGAGTCCTTTAAAGATGTGATTAAGTTAAAATGAAGGTGTTAGGTAGGGTGAACCCTAATCCAGTTTGGCTGATTGCTTATAAGAAGAGGAAATTTGGACACGTAAGGAGACACCAGGGGCATGTTTGCAGAGGAAGGGCCATGTGAGGACACTGTGAGAAGGTGGCCATCTGCAAGCCAAGGACAGAGGCCTCAGAAGAAACCAAACCTGTTGACACCTTGATCTTGGACCTCTAGCCTCCAGAAATAAAGGAGAAATAAATTTCTATTGTTTAAGCCACCCAGTCTGTGGTATTTTGTTATGGCAGCCCTGGCTAATACACATGTCAAATCCCACCTTGGCAACTGCCTCTCAGAGGGCCCTAACTAGCACAAGTGGTACCAGGAGAGGTCCAAGAAAACATAATAAGTTGAAGTTTCAGGACTGGCACACTCATTACCTCATAAGCAAAGACGATGCTATCCTGAGCAGTTTAGGGGCATGGGTAGCTCCTAGCACAAGGTGGTGACCCAGTTGCTAAAGATTTAATCAGTAGTGACCTGGGAAAACATCCCAGTGGAGGAGAAAGCCCTTGCAGATAGAATTTCAGGCATGTGAAATATATGAGTGGGAACATGCCTACAAGGACAGTGGAGTTGGCTGGTTACTGCTAAGTTGTATTGACACTCTGAAAAGGAATAAGGAGAAAGCAAGGGTTCTCCCTGGGTTAATGCCTAAGTGTGAGAGACAGAAAACCTCTTTAGTAGCTTACAAAGAGGCTTTTATGTCCTATAGTGGAAGAGCTGACACAGTTAAGCCACAGACTCAGGTCGTGATAGAGGCAACAGAGTTCCAGAGACATTTAAATGTGCAACCAAAGCAGGTCAGGGCCCTGGTTGCAAAAACCTGAAACCCTGAAACAAGGGATAGGACTTCTGGATGGACATCTGTAAGGATGTTAGTTCTGCAAACCCACATGAACTTACAAAGTTTGCAGAGGTGGTTCACCTCTTCGTATTATTCTCTGCATGCTGAAAGACACTGCAGAGCCACTGCCCCATGAGGCAACATTGAAGTTGCCCCTACTTCCTGTCCTGGCTGCCAGGCCAGTAACTAGAGTTAAATCCTAACAAAACCCAGCTGAGGGACTTCCCTGGTGGCACAGTGGTTGAGAGTCCGCCTGCTGATGCAGGGGCCATGGGTTCATGCCCCGGTCCGGGAAGATCCCACATGCTGTGGAGCGGCTAGGCCTGTGAGCCGTGGCTGCTGAGCCTGCATGTCTGGATCCTGTGCTCTGCAGCAGGAGAGGCTACAACAGTGAGAGGCCTGCGTACCACAAAAAAAAAAAAAAAAAAAAGAACCCGCCTGCCAATGCAGGGGACGTGGGTTTGAGCCTTCGTCCAGGAAGATCCCACATGCCGCGGAGCAACTAAGCCCGTGCACCACAACTACTGAGCCTGTACTCTAGAGCCCGCGACCCACAACTACTGAGCCTATGTGCCACAACTACTGAGGCCAGTGCGCCTAGAGCCCATGCTCCACAACAAGAGAAGCCACCGCAATGAGAAACCTGTGCACTGCAAGGAAGAGTAGCCCCTGCTCGCCACAACTAGAGAAAGCCTGTACGCAGCAGCAAAGACCCAACGTAGCCAAAAATAAATAAATAAATTTATATTAAAAAAAAAAACCCAGCTGAGAACATACTGGGCCTGATAACGGAGGAAAGAGATTAAATACAAAGAGCTGTAAGAATTAGCTCGCATATATAGACAGAAGCCAGGGGAGTACCCTGCAATTGAAATTTGAGGTTGCTTGATCAAAGTGGCTGGAATATAAGACTAGACAATCAGGAATTCATTGAATTGGGAGCACTTTCTTGAGGCACAGGATTTAACACCCTGGCAAGAACTCTTGGGGATGAAAAAAACTCACTGCCGGGAGGCTTTTAGAAACCTAGAGAAAGTGACAGCCAATGCTGAGTAAAGTAGAAATGCCCCAGTTGCCCTGGCATATGATACAATAATGAAAAAAAAGACAGGAAAGTGGGCATGCAGGAATAGGTTTGTGAAGCCAGAAGACCCATCAGAAGATTATGTTCAACAGGAAGGCCCAGAAAACACACCATTCACTGAGGCCATCAGAAATCTGGTGAGGGGCAAGAGCATCACCAAGAAGTTCTCTGCTGCCTGGGCTGACAGTAGAAACAGTCACAGAGCTGGGGCTCATTAATAACTATGGGAATGATATTCCCCTTCCCCCAGGTAAGAGAGACCAGATGGTGGCACTTAGTCACCAGAAGCCAGGAGGCTACAATTATGACAAAGACCAACAACATCTGACAAGAGTGGCAACCAAGGGGGCCTGACCCACAGCGAACTGTGGAGATGGATATAGAACTTGGCATCTCTAGGGGCAAAGTTAACATCTACAACCAAAAAAAGGCCAAAATGGAGAAGCAAGAGCCTGAGTATGGTTCCCCCCCACTGCACCAAAAGTCATTATCCCTTGTTCAGTGTCTGGATTTGAGCCACTCTTCAGATCTGAAACCCATTGACTTAAGAGGTGGCAGATCCTGCAGCACTGCAGCAAGTATACATGTAATGATTCCTCAGTCCTTCCCCAAAGAGACCTGTGGCCATTTACTTTGGTGACTGTACACACTGGGGAAGAGGAATAACCAGAAAATTTACTCAGAGTCTGAGTTGACATCAGTACCCTGAGACCCAAAGCATTGTCGTGGCCCCTGTTAGAGTGGGGGCTTATGGGGGCCTTGTAGTAAATGGGGTCCTGGCTAAAGTCCAGCTTACAGTGGGTCCATTGTGTCTATGCACCCACCCGATGGTGATTTCTCCGGTTCCTGTGTGTGTAATTGGAATTGATATATTTGGCGGTTGGAGTGATACCTACCTACATTAAATCCTTGACTTGTGTGAAGTAAGAGCTATCATAGTGGGGAAGGCCAAGTGGAAACACTCACCCCTGGCCAACATAGTGAATTAAAAAAACAAATATCACATACCAGGGGCATAATGGAAATTAGTGCCACCATTAAAGACCTAAAGAATGTGGGTGGAGGGAGGATGGTCCCTATCATGTCTCCACTTAATTAGCCAGTCTGGCCCTTGCAGATGGATCCTGGAGAATGACTGTAGACTACTGCAGGCTTCAGTAGTTGACCCATTACATAAATAATATTATGCTTGTCAGACAAGCACAAGAAAGAGGTGGCTAGTATGCTGGAGGTATTGGTAAGACCAGTGCTCCAGAGAGTAGAAAAATGCTACAAAGATTCAAGGACTTGCCACTTTGGTGAATTTTTAAGGGTCCACTGGTTAGAGGTGTGCTAGTAGTATATCCTTCCAAGTAAAAAACAAATTGTTGCATCTTGCATCCCCTACCACAAAGGAGAATTCACAGGGCTTGGTAGTTCTCTATGTTCTGGAGCAACACATTCCATACCTGGGAATACTGCTCCAGCCCATATACCAGGTAGTATTGAAGATTTCCAGCTTTGTGGCCCAGAACAGGAGAAGGGCTCTTCAGAAGGTCCAGGCTCCTGTACAAGCATCTCTGCCACTTGGCCATATATTCCAGTAGACTCTTTTGTATTAGAGGTGTCAAGAATGGGAAAAGATGCATTTTGGAGCTTGTGATAGTTAATTTTATGTCAACTTGACTGGGACATGGAGTACCCAAATAATATGGTCAAACATTTTCTGGGTGTGTTGGGGTGGGGGGTGTTTCTGGATGAGATTAACGTTGGACTGGTAGAATGAGTAAAGCAGATTGCCCTCCCTAATGTGGGTGGGCCTCATTCAATCAATTGAAGACCTGAATAGAACAAAAAAGCTGAGTAAAAGGGAATTCCTCCTGCCTGACTGCATAGCTAGGACGTTGGTCTTTTCTAGCCTTCAGACTTGGACCAAAACATCAGCTCTTCTTGGATCTTGAGCCTGCCGACTTTCAGACTGGAACTTATACCATCGGTGTCCTGGTTCTCAGGCTTTTGAACTCAGACTGGAACTAAACATTGGTTCTCCTAAGTCATCAGCTTGCGGACTGCAGATCTTGGGACTTCTCAGCCTCTCTAATCATGTGAGCCAATTCCTTATAATAAATCTACATCTATATCTATATCTAACTCCTATTGGTTCTGTTTCTCTGGAGAACCCTGACTAATAGAGATACTATCAGTGGAGTGCAGCTGTAAAAAATAACTAAAAATATGGAAGCAGCTTTGGAACCGGGTAATGGGTAGAGGCTGGAATAATTTTAAGTTACATGCTAGAAATATGGACATTATGGGCAAATCTAGTGAAATCTCAAACGGAAATGAGGAATATGTTATTGGAAACTGGAGGAAAGGCGATCCCTGTTATAAAATGGTAAAGAACTTGGCTGAACCGTGTCCTAGTGTTTTGTGGAAGGTAGAATTTGAGTGATAAAATTGGATGTTTAGCTGAGGAGATTTCTAAGCAAAGTATTGAAGGAGGGGCTTGGTTTCACCTGATTGCTGGCAGTAAAATGTGAAAGGAGCGAGATGAATTAAAGAAAGAATTGTTAAGCAAAGAGGAACCAGAACTTGATGATTTGGAAGATTCTCAGCCTATCCATATTGCAAAAAATGAGAAAGCATGTTCAAATACCAATGGTGTGATGAGATTATCACTTGATAAGGAGTTTACAGGATTACATGAGCAGAAGCACTGCCAGTTTGAACTGAAGGGGACAGAGATGGGGAAAAATGAAGGACGGCTGTTAGATTTATTGAATTGGACAGGACAGAGTGATAGATGATCACCAGGGCCACTGCCTCAGTTTTGACAGGCAGGCGGCTTCTGCCTGAAGCCTTGGGAGTGGGACTACCCAGCAAAGCCTTGGGGGTGATGCTGCCACCCCACTGGACCTGGATGGCTGAGCACTGAGCCAGAGGATTATTCTCAAACCTTAAAGATCTAATGGAATTTTCTTGCTAAATTTTGAACTTGCTTAGGACGCATCCCCCCTTCCTTCTTTCCTGTTTCTCCCTTTTAGAATGGGAATGTCTATCCTGTGCCTCTCCCACCACTGTATTTTGGAAGCACATAACTTGTCTGATTTTACAGATTCACAGCTGGAGAGGAATTTTGCCTCAGGATGAATCATACCTTGAGTCTCACTATATCTGATTTAGATGATATTTAGATGAGACTTTAGAGTTGATACTGGAGTGAGTTAAGACTTTGGAGGCTATTGGGATGGAATAAATGTGTTTTGCATTTAAGAATGACATGAATTTTAGGGGCCAGGGGTGGAATGTTATGGACTGAATTTGTCCCCCTGCCCAATTCTTATGTTGAAGCCCTAACCCCCAATGTGATGGTGAAGAAGAGATACCAGAGAGCACTTTCCGCCCACCCCATGAGGACAGAGTGAGAATGAGGAGGTGGCTGTCTCCAAATCAGGAAAAGGGATTGCCAGAGCCTGAACATGCTGGCACCCTGATCTCAGACTTCCAGCCTCTAGAACTGTGAAAAAATGAGTGTCTGTTGTTTAAGCCACCAAGTCTATGGTATTTCGTTATAACAGCCCAAACTGACTTAAGACAGAACTTATGGTAAGCCTCAGTGGAAAAATCACAATGCAGTCACTGGAACTTGAGCAAGGCCATGCCATCTGCAGCAGAGAATTATATATGTTTTAAGAAACAGCTACTAATGTGATACTAGGCCTTGGAAGAAACCGAACACTTAACCATGGGACTCCAAGTAGTCATGTGTCCAAAACTGCCTGTTACGGCCTTGGTTCTTTTGGTGTTCAGATGGACCCAGCAGCATTTATTGTAAGATGGAAATGGTGCATCTGAGATGGAGCTCAAGCACAACTGAGGTACTTGTAAGCTGCATGACCAGGTAGTCCAGACCCGCATGTCACCCACCACAACTGCACCAATACCATGACCAGCTGAAGGAGGGGTAAAGCCTGAGTTTGGTTTATGGGTGAGTCAGCTTAAGATGTGGATGTAAGCCAAAGTTAGATAGTGGCCGCATTATAGTCACATACTTGAGAAGCTTTGAAAAATAGTGGAGAGGAAAAATCTTCCTAATGGGTAGAGTTAGAAACATTGTCCCTGGTCATCTGGTTTGTGTATAAGGAGAAACAGACTGAAGTAAGAATATATATAGATTCTTGGGCATGTGTCAATGGCCTGGCCCGCTGGTAAGGGGCCGGGAAGAAAAAAGACTGGAAGACCAAAGACAAGAAGGTCTAGGGTAGAGTCTTGTGGGTGAATATACATGAGTGGGCATGAAGTGTGAAGATTTTTGTATCATATTTTGCACCCACTAGGGAAGAGGTACTAAACAATTAAGTAGAGAAAATAACTCATGTAGTTGTCATTACCAGCCTTAATCATTGGCTACCTTGGAACCAGCCTGATGGGCACTGTTGTGGGTTATATTGTATCCCCCCCAAATTCATACGTTGAAGTTCTAATCCCCAATACCTCAAAATGTGACATTTGGAAATAGGGTTCTTGCTGTTGTAGTTAGTTAAAATGACATCATACTGGAGTAGGATGGGCCCCTAATTCAATGTGACTGGTATCCTTATAAACAGAAGGCCATATGAAGACAGAAATATGCAGAGGGAATGCCATGTGAAGATAAAAACAGAGATTAGGGTGATGCAGGAGAAGCCAAGGAACACCAAAGAAGCTAGGGGAGAAGCATGGAACAGATTTTCCCTCACAGCCCTCAGAAGGAACCAAGCCTACTGACACCTTGGTCTCAGACTTCTAGCTTCCAGAATTGTGAGACAATAAATTTCTGTTGTTTAAATCACCAAATTTGTGGTACTTTGTTAACGCAGCCCTAAGAAACTAATACAGACACATAAATGGTGTGGCCTCAGTGGTAGAGATAGAAGCTATATATGGGCCCAGAAAGTATGGACTCCAACTTTTTAAGGCTGATCTAGCTACTAATGCCTAAATGTCCAACATGTCAGCAATAGAGACCAATGCTGAGCCCCCAAAATGGAGCAATTACTCATGGAGACAGTTGGCTACTTGGTGACAAGTTGACTACTTTGAGTCCCTTCCATTCTGCGGGGGCCAGTGCTTCATTCTCACAGTGATAGATAGCTATTCTGGATATGGGTTTTCCTTTCCACCAACAGATCCTCAGCCAACATTACTGAATTGGGATTTGTGGAGTGTCTGATCCACAGGCACAGAATCCTGCATAACATAGCATCCAACCAGGGCAACTGCTTCATGGTAAAAGAAGTGCGAGAGTGGACCCATGACCTAGTACCACACCAGCCAGAAAAAGCTGACCTGATAAAGAGCTGGAATGGCTTTCTAAAGTCTCAAGTGAAATGCCATTCATTTCACTTATTCATTATTCCAGCCTCCCACATGCTGCAGAGGCAACTCTGAAAAAACAAGATGCTATCATTCAGGATATGTTATACACATTAAATCCCAGGCCTTTATGAACCCAATAGGAAAAGTACATGGGTCCACTAACCAAGGAGTGGATGCAGGAATAGCTCCATTTACCTTTACTACCAATGACCCACTAGAGGATTTTGTGCTTCCTGTACCCACAAACCTGGGATATATAGGGCTGGAGGTACTGGTCCCCAACGGGATTGCACTCCTGTTAAGGGACACAGCAAAGGCCCCATTGAACTGTAAGCTATGACTGCTGCTGGGGCACTTTGGACTCATTATTCCAGGGACCAGTAGGTGAAAAGAGAAGTCACCATCATGACAAGGATAACTGACCCTGATCAGTAGGAGAAGGTATCATGGCTTTTTACAGAATCCATGTGATCCACTTGGGCATCTCCTGATACTCCCTTGCCCCACTGTAACTGTGAACACATGCAGCAACTCTGGACTAAGAAGTGTGTGGTTACTAGGAGCTCAGTCCCCTCAAGAATAAGGGTTTGGATTATACCATCACATAAGCCACCAAGACCTGCTAAGATGAAAACTGAGGGTGAGGGGAATTTAGAGTGGATAGTGGAAAAGGGAGAGAATGAGTATCAACTGTGGCCTCCAGACCAATTTCTATAGTTCATTCCACTAACCTTCCTCTTTCAAGTTTCTCATCAGGAAGAGAGGCCCATGGAAACCATGGAAGAGCTTCTCCCCAAACCAACAAGAAGAAGTGTACAGATCAGTGGGTCAAAGGAGTAGACTGTGGTGTTTCTGAAAATGTGCCACTGGATTTCCTGCTGTGCATAGCATAGTTAACTGATGAACCCAGATACTGATCTGGATCCACCAGTGTGTTCACATCTGAGGCCACATTTCCCACAACCTACTCCTACCTAACTACTGAGCATGGTGGAGTAATAATGCAGGTTCATTCCTTCCAGACTTGGGACTCCTCTAATGGGACACTTTGGCTTGAGAACTACTGTTGGGATTCAGAGCTCAGAGGGAAATTGAGAGAAAGGAAATTTTTGCAAAGACAGTTTAAAAAGAAAATAAAGGGACTTCCCCGGTGGTGCAGCGGTTAAAAATCTGCCTGCCAATGCAGGGGACACGGGTTCGAGCCCTGGCCTGGGAAGATCCCACATAATGCAGAGCAGCTAAGCCTGTGTGCCACAACTGCTGAGCCTGCGCTGTAGAGCCCGTGAGCCACAACTACTGAGCCCGCGAGCCACAACTACTGAGCCCATGAGCCACAACTACTGAAGCCCGTGCGCCTAGAGCCCGTGCTCCACAACAAGAGAAGCCACTGCAATGAGAAGCCCATGCACTGCAACGAAGAGTAGCCCCCGCTCACCACAACTAGAGAAAGCCTGCGTGTAGCAGCGAAGACCCAACACAGCCAAAAATAAATTAATAAATTAATTTTTAAAAAAGAAAATAAATATAAAATCAGAAATTGATAAAAATAGAAAGCAAAAAAATGAGAAAATCAACAAGAGCAAAACTTATTAATCTCCAAAAAGACAAAAAATTAATCACCTAGCAAGGCTAATCAAGGAAAAGTTTAAGAGAACACATTACTAATATCAGCAATAAAATAGGGGCATCACCACAAGTCCTATAGCTATTAAAAATATAAGAGGATACAACTTTATACCAATAAATT